GTTCGATACTGAGTATTATGATTGGCAGTGATCTTATTTGAGTGTACTTGAGAGTGGATGATGATGACTGATGACTAATGAGCTAGCTTAGATGTGTTGATGAAAATTGCTTTAAAGATGTATATGAAATATCGATATTACAATCATGTAGATATAAATTATTTTTCTCAGTGAATTATTATCGAATATATTTGCAGTTAGTAACACAATATATAAACTTAACAAAAGTTTGTGTGTACCAAGAAAACAACTCACATTACAATAGCTCTAGCACTTTCATGTTATCACGTGTGTCTATTTTGACCTTGTACCATATATCGGTTTAGTAAATATTCTTTTGAAGTGGTCTTGTGTGCAAACGACCTCGACCGGGTTCACACGACATGGATCAACACTTTGGTATGTTCGTAGACCTGCAAAATGGGCTGGGAGGAATTCATGTTGTTAGCGCTCAATGATCAAGTCAGTTCATATATGAAGAAAACGAGGAACAAAAATAAAAGCTTTGTATATAAGTATGTGTAGAGAATATAATGTTGCAATGGATATAGCTCACCCGTTTTAATAGGGGTGTGTTACCTTATTGCCGTAGACTGCCAGGATGTTTTGCCTAGGCTGCCCGAACTGTCCAATCGTACTGCCGGAGCTTCCTAATCCTGTTAGACCACGTAGCTCTATCCACGTGTGGGTCTTGTCTTAAATAATTTTTTTATCTATTAGTCTGCCTTATTAGACAGTTTAATCGTGTGACCGACCCACATTCTCTCGAGGTGGAGTGCTGCTTGTGCTGAGCTCATATGCTCTGCTCATCTAATTGATCTATCGACCAGCCATGCCTTCAGGTCGAGTTTCAACTCGGCCATTTGAGGGCCCTAGATCGACCTGTTGGTACTTCTTGAATTTGCGACGTTCTCATCGACCTGAGGACTCTTCGACCTGTAGTGCCTTCAGTTTCTGCTCGACCTGTTGGCTCACTCGGTTCAGTCAGGTTGTCTCTCGGGACTAGTCGACCCAATATGGTATCTCATATCACAACCATTTAATTTTAATTTGCGTAAGTGATTCTCCTAGAAAGAGTATTCCCCCTTATTCCACCCTTAGATATAGAAATCATTTAAGATTCCATGACTTAGCCTCACTAAAGCTGATTTAATTTACACCTTGATGATTCTAGAAATGAGTTGATATTTTTCAAGTGTTTCATTGAACTATCGAAACCTAGTTTTTCCATTAAACCAAGATTTCAAGATCTCCGATTCTCAAGTTTGGGTTACGGTTAAGATTGTTCGTTTATTGTGGATTTTGTTAAGCTCTTTCTCTGACCAGTTTATACAATTTATCTGGATTTATGATTTTTGTTACGAATTTGTTCGTTACTCTTTGACTTTATATAATCAACAGATATAACCCACGTACTTTTTTTTTTATATAAATAAGTCTTTGAAGTATATATCGAGAGTTACTATTGTACAAAACTACTTTGTGCCCTTTTGATTGTCGAATTATCACAATGAACCATCACGATATGTACTTACTTGTCTTCCGAAGAATAACAAAGAACATCATGAATGAATAATGATGACGAGCGGCTCGATCAAACAATAAACACAAACCCTAAATACAATCATCAAACAAACTTGAACAAAGAATTTAATTGCAAAGTCGAGGTGCGTGAAACACGCTCTTCATAAGACAAAATTATCACCGATTAATTCCCTTGCTTCCCGCAAGCGTATTCAAGATACATTAACTTTTACTTCTATGTAGTG